ACAATTTTATTCCTAAGAACCAAATCATCCTGGTGGACATTCATTAAATGTTGGAATCTTTTTCTTCTTTCATTTTTTCTTTCATCTTTAGTTTTGTCCACATTTTTTTTTAATTCTTCCTTTTTTAACCTTTCTTCATAGTTTTTTTCTTTTTCTTTATCTCTATAATTTTTTATTAAAGATTGAGCTTCTTTTTAAATTTTAATTAAATTAATACAATGTTATTAATAATTATATTATTAATAACATGTTAGAATCCGAGATATCTAACAAAAATTAAGATAAAAAATAAAACAAATTAAGATAAAATGGTAATTATTTATTGTTAATTTGATGGTTATAGTATAATTTTAAAAAATTCAGAATATAATTCTTAATATTGGCAATTTATACAAAGAAAAAAAAAATCTTAATTTTATTGAAATGAAAATTTTATTAAAAAGTTCATATTACATTTTTTTTCATATTTTTACATTTTTTTTTTACCATTTTTTTTACATAAAATTACATGTAAATATGACAAACAATGATAGAATATTCAGAATAAATGTATTTAGAAATTGTTGTTTTTTTGTATATAAATTTAAATAATTACATTTATACAGATCTGTATGTACAAAAAACAGATCTGTATAATTACATTTTTGTACAACTCGACTCTGATACACACCCACATAAAAAAAAAAAAAATTTATACACAGATATAAAATTAACACAAACTCACATTCAAACTCACTCACTCACTCACTCACACAACACATTCACACAATAAACATGGTTGTAGTGTGGGAAATTTTTTATTTATTTTTCGAATTTTTTATTTTTTAAATAATTTTTTTTTTTTTTTTTTAAATTATAAAAATATATATATTATTTTTTATAATAGTATTTTAATAAAAGATTTTTCACTGTGTGTAGTATTATCAAAAAAGCTTATTTATAAATAAAAAAATGAATAATTAGGAAATTTTTTTATACAATTGCCCAATTTGGTGTGATAAAGAAAAATATTTTATAAACAATATTGAAATAACAACTTCTGGTTTACATATTATGGATTTGATATGTCTTATGGAATATACAAAAGGAAAAGGTTTATATTTAAATGACAATATAATATATTTAAAATAATAATAATAATAATAATAATAATAATAATAATAAAAATAATATGGATTATCAGGTTTTTGGTGATGATTTGAATGATCAAGATGATATTAATGATTCAAGTGACGAAGAGAATTTATATGATACCAGTAGGTTCGATCCAAATGAACCATTTAGTTTTATTGTCGAAAATCAAATACAAACCGAGTTTTTAGATTCAGACAATGAAAATGATTCAAATTTTAATAAAAAAATTGACAACATATTATTCAATTTATATGAAGAAACGTTTAAAATAGGAGAAAATGTAATAAAATAAAAGAAATAAAAGAAGATAAACAAATTTCATTTCAAGAATTAAAAAGAAAAAAATCAAAATTAAAAAACTATCGTCAATTATTGATCCAAATGGAGAAAAGAACAGACTCTATTCTAGATTTATATTTAGCATATGATTTGCTGGATGATAGAAGAACAAGGAAAATGAAAAGAAAACTTTATGTCAATCCCAAGAGATTAGAAAAAAATTTAAATTCACCTAATAAAAAATCTTATAATAAATGTTAAAAGAGACAGAGTTCACCCCCATCAGGAAGATTATTTTAGATTGGATGTTGGAGAACCAAATTTATCATCAGAAGTTTTAGTTGATAGGGAAATGAATATATATTATGTTTCAATAGCAAAAGGAAATATTCATGATAGTACATTTGCTTTTTTATCTCAAATAGATCAATTTGCAATTGAAAATGATTTAAATATTCTAGCTGATTCTGGTAAATTATTAAATTAATTTATAATAAAATAATGTTGTTGTTGTATATATATTATTTAATTAATATTAATTAAAATTTTAATTTCAATATAGCATATCCTGGATCAATTTACATAACTCCATCCTGTTATTATAAATTTTTAGAAGAGAAAACAATAAATGATAAAACCCAAGAACAAAAAAAAAAAATACAATCTTCATTTCAACAGAAACAGGCAGCTTTAAGAACACCTGTTGAAAGAGGTAATAGCTCAGTTAAAAGATTTGGAATTGCCAATACCAAATGTAAATTATTTCCCGAATTACATGCAATGTGTATAATGATCTGTTTTCAATTGTGTCAATTGGAAAAAAATTTTGAAAATTCAAAAAATAATAATAATATACAAAAATAAAAAAAATATTAATCATTTAAAATAATAATAACATAAATAAAAAATTATTAATCTTTTAAAAAATAATAATATACATATATATATATATAAAAATAAAATTTTAATCATTATAATATTATATAAATAAATATTCAAATTTATTTTATTTTTGAATCATATTTAACTTTTATTAATTAATATTAATAAAAAATGAGTAATTTATATACTAAAAAATTCATTCATTTTATTTAAAAGTAAACAAGAAAAGGTGAATGAACTTTTTAGTACTTTATGAGTAATTTATATACTAAAAAATTCATTCATTTTATTTGAAAGAAAACAAGAAAAAGTGAATGAATTTTTTAGTATGGGTGAGATAATTACCATATTAAAATGATTCATTTCTTCAATTTTGCAAGTAGCTCAATAAACTTCATTAATTTTTTTAATTAAAATTACAAATTTATAATGTATTTCACTTGGTATTATTATAAAAAATAATATGTTTTTGTTAATTAAAAAATTTTTTACCATTTTACTTATTTACCTTTATAATTATTTAAAATTCATATAATTTATGAAGTTCATTTTTTTATATTTTATTTTTTTTCATAATAATGAAAGAAAGAAATTGCTAAATTAGTTTTACAAAATTTTTTTTTTTTTTTTTTACATGCACAAATTTAGTAATCTACCACCTCGTATTTTTTTATTTTTTAATTATTAAATTTTATTTTTTAGAGCATCATTGCAATTATTTTTTTAATTAATTATAATTTTTTTTTTTTAAAAATTATAATTTTTTTTTTTATTTTTTTTTTAAAATTTATTTAAATTTTTTTTTTATTCACACTAACACCCACACTCTTATATATATTATAGTCTTATATTTTGTATTTTTTTTAAATAGTAAAAATAACCTTTTTTCATATTCAATTTTTTTTATTTGTATATTTTCACAAACCATATTTCATTAAAAAAAAATAATTTTAAAATGATTTTACCAATAATCCTTTCTATCTTTATTTATTTATTTTTAATTTTTATCTCCAAACATGGCACCGATACCAACAATAACCCACCACCATTAGCACTACAACAAAAACAACAGGGCACCAATACAATTAGTAACCCAACACCATCAACACAACCACAGGGCACCAATACCAACAATAATCCACCACCATCAACACAACAAAAAAAAACCACAATCACCACAATCAAAAAATTAAATTTGTAGATGAAACAAATTTATTTAAAAGATCATCACCTTATCTTGTTCAATCTACACCACAACAGGCACTTCCAAAAAAACCACCACAATACTCAGCTCATCCACCACAAGCAAGACCTGTATCACAAAACCAAAATAGACCACCTCCAGTACCAACACCAATACCAGCACCATCAACACCAAATGAGGAACCACCACAAGCAAGACCTGTACCAAATGGCAATTCACCAGTAAGACCAGGTCCACCAGAACTACCAGTCCCAAGTTGGGTACCACCAAACCCAAATAATGAACCACCACAACCAAAATCAAAACCAAAACCAAAACATAATGCATCAATCCCCGATTATAGAAAACTATTTCAAGCTATGGATGCTTATGAAAAACAAGAACAAGAACAAGAACAAGAACAAGAACAAGAACAAGAACAAGAACAAGAACAAGAACAACCCCCACAACCACCCCAACCAAAACCAAAACATACTGCATCAATCTGCAATATTAAAAAACTATTTCAAGATATGGATGCATATGAAAAACAAGATCAAGATCAAGCTCAACAACAACAAGATCAACAACAACAAGATCAACAACAACAAGATCAACAACAACAACAACAACAACACCAATC